ACACACACACACACACACACACACACACACACACACACACACACACACACATTTTTAAACACACATGAAAAAGCATCTGATAGCAGCTCTCATATCCTACAGAGTGTCAGATATGAGGAGCCCCAGGCACAAGACACACACACACACACACACACAATAACCAGAGCTCAACCTGTCTGTGTACAGCAGTCTGAGTGCAGATCATGCATGTCTCCAGAGTCTCCATACACTGCTGCACATCACACACACACATGCACGCGCACTCTCACTCGACTCTCCTCAAATTCACCTTCACATGCACACACACTTGCTCACCTTCAGCTCTCCTCAAATTCACCTTCACAAACACACACACACACACACACACACACACACACACACACACACACACACACACACACACTTCTCCAAATCCCCTTGTGAAATCCCCTTGTGAACACACACTGCTCACACACTCACAGGATCTCCAATGTTCCTTCAACATGAAACAACAATAAAAGCTTATTTCCACAGTTCTGCCTCTCTGAGAGCAGATCCAGACTCACAGAGTTCATTCCCTTACACGCCTTCAGTTTATTTCTAATTAAAAGACAACGACAACAGCATCATCATCAGCATCATCATCATCATCAATTATAATGTTTAAATGGAGCTGTAATGGCAGTAGCGTGCAGAGAGAGAAATGTACACGAGGCTGAAGCTTTTCCAAACCAGACATGGATAGAAAAGGAACACAGCAACACCCTGGCAACCATATAGTAACACCCAGCCAACAGCACTAACACACCCTGGCAACCACTTGGCAACATCCTAACAAACACATAGTGACACATAGGCAACCACATACCTGTAGCAACAACCAGGCAACTACATAGCAACGCCCGGGCAAACACATTAGCGACAGCCTGGCAGCCACAAAGCAACACCCAGGCAACCACATGGCAACACTTTGGCGATCCATTTCAAATGGACACAGTGGAAACCTCATAGCGACACCCCAACAAACACTTGGCAATACCCAGGCAACAACATGGTGACACCCTGGAAACCACATGGCAACACTTTTTTCAATCACATAGCAACACCTTCGAAACCACAACAACACCTTGGCAACCGGTTGTGGCTATAAGGGATACGGCTGCAGCCAGAAATTCATTCATTCGTTTGTTTTCCTTCATCTTAGTCCCTTTATTCATCAGGGGTAACCACAACACTTTGGCAACTGCATAGCAACACCCTGGAAACCATATAGCAACACCCAGTCAACAGCACTGAAATACCCAGGCAACCACTTGGCAACACACCAGAAACCATATAGCAACACCCTGGCAACAACATAGCGACACCCAAGAAACCACATGGCAATACCCTGGCAACCACATAGCAACACCAAGGCGACCACATGGCAATACCCTGGCAACCACATAGCAACACCGAGGCGACCACATGGCAATACCCTGGTAACCACATAGCGACACCAAGGCGACCACATGGCAATACCCTGGCAACCACATAGTGACACCAAGGCGACCACATAGCAATACCCTGGCAACCACATAGCGACACTGAGGCGACCACATGGCAATACCCTGGCAACCACATAGCGACACTGAGGCGACCACATGGCAATACCCTGGCAACCACATAGCGACACTGAGGGCACCACATGGCAATACCCTGGCAACCACATAGCGACACCAAGGCGACCACATGGCAATACCCTGGCAACCACATAGTGACACCAAGGCGACCACATGGCAATACCCTGGCAACCACATAGCGACACCAAGGCGACCACATGGCAATACCCTGGCAACCACATAGCGACACCAAGGCGACCACATGGCAATACCCTGGCAACCACATAGTGACACCAAGGCGACCACATAGCAATACCCTGGCAACCACATAGCGACACCGAGGCGACCACATGGCAATACTCTGGCAACCACATGGCGACACCGAGGCGACCACATGGCAATACCCTGGCAACCACATAGCGACACTGAGGGCACCACATGGCAATACCCTGGCAACCACATAGCGACACTGAGACGACCACATGGCAATACTTTGGCAACCACATAACGACACCGAGGCGACCACCTGCAATACCCTGGCAACCACATAGCGACACTGAGGCGACCACATGGCAATACTTTGGCAACCACATAGCGACACCGAGGCGACCACATGGCAATACCCTGGCAATCACATAGCGACAGCGAGGCGAAAACATGGCAATACCCTGGCAACCACATAGCGACACCAAGGCGACCACATGGCAATACCCTGGCAACCACATGGCGACACCGAGGCGACCACTTGGCAATACCCTGGCAATCACATAGCGACACTGAGGCGACCACATGGCAATACCCTGGCAACCACATAGCGACACTGAGGCGACCACATGGCAATACCCTGGCAACCACATAGCGACACTGAGGCGACCACATGGCAATACCCTGGCAACCACATAGCGACACTGAGGCGACCACATGGCAACACCCTGGCAACCACAAAGCGACACTGAGGGCACCACATGGCAATACCCTGGCAACCACATAGCGACACTGAGGCGACCACATGGCAATACCCTGGCAATCACATAGCGACACTGAGGCGACCACATGGCAATACTTTGGCAACCACATAGCGACACTGAGGCGACCACATGGCAATACCCTGGCAATCACATAGCGACAGCGAGGCGACCACATGGCAATACCCTGGCAACCACATAGCGACACTGAGGGCACCACATGGCAATACCCTGGCAACCACATAGCGACACCAAGGCGACCACATGGCAATACTTTGGCAACCACATAGCGACAGCGAGGCGACCACATAGCAATACCCTGACAACAACATAGCGACAGCGAGGCGGCCACATAGCAATACCCTGGCAACCACATAGCGACAGCGAGGCGACCACATAGCAATACCCTGGCAACCACATAGCGACACTGATGGCACCACATGGCAATACCCTGGCAACCACATAGCGACACTGAGGCGACCACATGGCAATACCCTGGCAACAACATAGCGACACTGAGGCGACCACATGGCAATACCCTGGCAACCACATAGCGACACTGAGGGCACCACATGGCAATACCCTGGCAACCACATAGCGACACTGAGGCGACCACATGGCAATACCCTGGCAACCACATAGCGACACTGAGGCGACCACATGGCAATACCCTGGCAACCACATAGCGACACTGAGGCGACCACATGGCAATACTTTGGCAACCACATAGCGACACTGAGGCGACCACATGGCAATACTTTGGCAACCACATAGCGACAGCGAGGCGACCACATGGCAATACCCTGGCAATCACATAGCGACACCGAGGCGGCCACATGGCAATACCCTGGCAACCACATAGCGATACCCTGGAAACTACATGGCAACACTTCGGCAACCACAAATCGAAACACTGAAAACCATAGAGCGACACCCTGGCAACCACTTGGCAATACCCATGCAACCACATAGCAACACCCTGTTAACCATATGGCAACACTTTTTGCAATTACATAGCAACACCCTGGCAAACACATAGCGACACCGAGGCGGCCACATGGCAATACCCTGGCAACCACATAGCGACACTGAGGCGACCACATGGCAATACCCTGGCAACCACATAGCGACACTGAGGCGACCACATGGCAATACCCTGGCAACCACATAGCGACACTGATGGCACCACATGGCAATACCCTGGCAACCACATAGCGACACTGAGGCGACCACATGGCAATACCCTGGCAACCACATAGCGACAGCGAGGCGACCACATAGCAATACCCTGACAACAACATAGCGACACCGAGGCGGCCACATGGCAATACCCTGGCAACCACATAGCGACACTGAGGGCACCACATGGCAATACCCTGGCAACCACATAGCGACACTGAGGGCACCACATGGCAATACCCTGGCAACCACATAGCGACAGCGAGGCGACCACATGGCAATACCCTGGCAACCACATAGCGACACTGAGGCGACCACATGGCAATACCCTGGCAATCACATAGCGACACTGAGGCGACCACATGGCAATACCCTGACAACAACATAGCGACACCGAGGCGGCCACATGGCAATACCCTGGCAACCACATAGCGACACTGAGGGCACCACATGGCAATACCCTGGCAACCACATAGCGACACCAAGACGACCACATGGCAATACCCTGGCAACCACATAGCGACACTGAGGGCACCACATGGCAATACCCTGGCAACCACATAGCGACACCGAGGCGACCACATGGCAACACCCTGGCAACAACATAGCGACACTGAGGCGACCACATGGCAATACCCTGGCAACCACATAGCGACACTGAGGCGACCACATGGCAATACCCTGGCAACCACATAGCGACACTGATGGCACCACATGGCAATACCCTGGCAACCACATAGCGACACTGAGGCGACCACATGGCAATACCCTGGCAACCACATAGCGACACTGAGGGCACCACATGGCAATACCCTGGCAACCACATAGCGACACTGAGGGCACCACATGGCAATACCCTGGCAACCACATAGCGACACTGAGGCGACCACATGGCAATACCCTGGCAACCACATAGCGACACTGAGGCGACCACATGGCAATACCCTGGCAACCACATAGCGACACTGAGGCGACCACATGGCAATACTTTGGCAACCACATAGCGACACTGAGGCGACCACATGGCAATACCCTGGCAATCACATAGCGACAGCGAGGCGACCACATGGCAATACCCTGGCAACCACATAGCGACACTGAGGGCACCACATGGCAATACCCTGGCAACCACATAGCGACACTGAGGCGACCACATAGCAATACCCTGACAATCACATAGCGACAGCGAGGCGACCACATAGCAATACCCTGGCAATCACATAGCGACAGCGAGGCGACCACATAGCAATACCCTGGCAATCACATAGCGACAGCGAGGCGACCACATGGCAATACCCTGGCAACCACATAGCGACACTGAGGCGACCACATGGCAATACCCTGGCAACCACATAGCGACACTGAGGCGACCACATGGCAATACCCTGGCAACCACATAGCGACACTGAGGCGACCACATGGCAATACCCTGGCAACCACATAGCGATACCCTGGAAACTACATGGCAACACTTCGGCAACCACAAATCGAAA